TGTTTTGCAAAATAAGACCTTTTGTTTCCAAGGCAGAGATTTGTGTTGCCATAGAGAAAGAGAAATGTTGATTTGAAGAAATTCTTAGACTCCACAGAAGGGCTTTTCAGAGCCAAAAAAAAATCTTTTCCCATAATTAATACATGGCCCTCCACAAATTTCCCATCGTCACTAACATGGCCCACTTTGGGTCACCTTAAATTTCTTTTGTTACCAGATTTTTACAGTATGTGTATGTTATGTGTGTTTGTGTGGAACATAAATATTTTATATTCTTTAGATTTATGCAAAGTTTGATTTAATGTCATAATTTAAGAAGGAAAAGGAAGACTTTAAGCATAAACATGGTACTGTTAAAAGGAGAATCTCTTCTAATCCTGGTTAGCAGGTACTACAGCTAACATTTTCTGGGGGCGGGGGGCGGAGGAATTGATTTAAGAGCTCTAGAACTGTTTATAACTCTTTCAAAGACTTTTTTCTACATTAGTATTTCAAATAACAGTCAATCCTTATTTAAGAGTTCATCTATACACTAGATATAGCTAACACTCCAAAGATGCCTCTACAGATGAATAGATGGGTTTTGGACAGACTGTATCTCACTTTCTGAGCTTCAGAAGTCTATATTTGGCTGATGCCAGAGATTTTAGGATATTTCAAACCAACTTCCTGTATAATCAGTGGTTTGTGATTTGGTTCTGGCTTTGAAAATTATCATGTGCTTAAAACTTGTCTCAACTGTATCCATTTTTGACATTAAAAATAGCTACACTAAAGAGAAATGGTTAAATATTTAGGCTTCCATGAAAATAGCATGATGCTCTGTTTTCTAATTTTTATTGTACTCTTAAGACTCATCAGGATAATACAATACAAGCATGATGTCATTCTCACCCAAAATTTCCAGCATGGGGTCTCTAATCTATTAACCGTAAAACCACATTCATGATTTTATAGTTCATGTGAGCCGTTCTGAATGTCACAAATGTAGATCATTCTGTATTTATTGCAGAACTGCTAAGAAGTTATGAGTAATAGAAATGCCTGAGTAGATAGAGTAGACATGATCATAGACCAGAAATTCTGGTGGCTAAAAAGTGATCCTGTCTCAAGAATTTTAAACATGGGAAGGGAAAAGCATGGTCAGAAAGACAGATTAATATCAATTTCACATTGCTCTGTGGTCTTTCAAATACCTTCCAAAATGAATGCAGGCTGAAGGAACTTGGTGAGAGCAGACTCAAGGCATGAGCAACTCTTAGCATGGTGCTGCCACTCCTCACCATGGGGTGGCAGTAGAGCGCAGACGCATTACAGATCTCTTCCTCGAGGGGAGGAAAGGCAAAAGACAGGCCTTAAGATAATTTGCTTGAGTCACACAGAACATAAACAGCTGCCTAAAGGAGAAAATAAAGATGGTGATTTTAACCAGCTAAGGCCCTCTATTCCATCATAGTAACCTTTCATGCAATAACAGTGAGAGTCAAAATCATAATTCAGTTTCTTCTTTCCACTTCTTTGTGAAATTAAGAAGTCACCTTTGGGTTTTGGTTTACTGATTTGCAAAATGAAGTTGGGTTATTACTATTATTTTTTTTCACATGACTGAGACACTTGAGAATGACCCAGTAAATGTCGAGTGTCGTGGCTCTCTAACAACTCACTAAGGTTGATGATGGTACCGGTATATAACACAGGAAACATGCCCATGGAAATGCTGCTTCCTTTACGGACTCCCTGCGGGGGACAAGCAAGATCTTAATCATCGTCTTCTCCAACTCCTTGATTTCAGAGATCAGGGAGCTCAGGTGTGGGTGTCCAACGTCATACAGTCAGTGCCAACACCAGAAAGACATAAATGTATCTATTAATGCTACGTATTCCTCCATTGACCAAATACTTTTATTTTTTCAAAGATTTTATTTACTTTTAGAGAGAGGGAAAGGGAGGGAGAAAGAGAGGAAGAAAAACATCAATGTGTGGTTGCCTCTCACCTGCCCCCTACTGGGGACCTGGCCCACAGCCCAGGCCTGTGCCCTGACTGGGAATCGAACCGGCAAGCCGTTGCTTCATAGTCTGGCACTCAACCCACCGAGCCACACCAGCCAGGACCTGACCAAATGCTTTTAAAATAAATTAATTCGAATACTGTAATGGTCATCTTTCCTCAAAACTTGTTCCCAGCTATGCACATTCCCATGGAAATGATTCCTGTTAAAGGTAACCTTAGAGAAACTCTAAAGCTCACCATTGTTAATAGATACACAACTTTTATGCTAATAAAAGCTGTGATAAATCCTGGCCTGCGAATGTGAACAGTACAGAAAACTAGTGATTCGTGGGGGGGCGGGGGGAAGTAAGGGAGGATCCTTTTAAAGAACATGAAGGAAAAAACACAGTGGGGAGGGTGGGTGAAAGCAAAGACATTACTGGCTACCAGTCGAGGAGCGCGTGGGCTGGAGACAGGGAGGCCCGTGGGACAAGGGACGGGGGGGGAACTGGGGGGGAGGCCGCAGACCTCTGGCAATAACCCGACCTTCATAATCGTCGAAGGGCGGATTCATTTACATGGTGCATAAGATGAGATGAATTGAATTAAACTAGCAAAATTGTCATGACGATAACAAAAAAGGAGTGTATATTGATTTTAAGAGCAGATTGTTTCATATTAATGAACAATGTGATTTTTAAAGTGGCAGTCACATTTTAGCAGAAGGAAGCAATAAAATGACTTTAACCAAGCCCTGGGTGCCACAGGTAAAAGTCAAATTTTTACTCTAGAAGTATTAGAATGATTTAAATATTTGAAAATAGGCACACTCTTTTTCAAGCACAATGAAATATATTTTACAAAACATTTTCTTTTTGGGAAAGAATAAGTAATAATTATTATTTATAACTTTGTTACACACTGGAAATGGTGCTTTGACTATTCTTGTGAGAGAACAGTACCTACCTTGATGTGTGATTTGAAATATGATAGTGTAGATTTTTTTAAGTTATATTTTTACATATAGTATGTTTGAGTGACTAATGTAAGCATTTTCAATAGGATGTGGCATTAGTTTATAATCTCTGGCCAGAAGTTTCATTGCTGGAATTGTATTCTCAGGAATGGTTCAAAAGGAGAAAATAGTTCTTTGTATAAACTGTTCATAGCACTATTATTTATGATAACAAAAATAGTCTAGAACAATCTCCACTTCAAAACAAAAGAGAGTAAAATAGTTAAGAGAACTAAAATATATATACACATATGTAAGGGAGTGTTATTCTGTAGTGATTTAAAATGAGGAAGGAGACTGGAAAATTATTACAAAATATTAATAGCAGTTAACATATATATATCTTAATTCTGCATTAAAAGTTTTATATATATACATATATGTGTATGATTGGACAAGAAATTGAAGAAATATAATAGCATATAGGCTTATAAATGACTTATATTTGTCTCTTTTCATATACTTAAACTGGTTTAATAATGTTAAATTAAATGACCTTAAAATAGCTGAAAAACAGGTTAGTCTTCATCATTTTTAAAAGAGTATATTTTATCATTTTAATAATACATCGTTAGTAAATTTATATTGACTAATAGGAATAAAGTATTTTACTATAAAGTCATACATGTGTCCAATCATTGTTATCCATTCTCCAGTCTTATGTTTATATATTCTATGCACAGACTGTGGACTGAAATTTCTAAAACTACTGTTAACAGCAACTTCCAATTAATAGAGTCCAAGCTTAAAATTCAGTAAAGTAAGTACCTACTCTTCCTCAGCTAGACCGACAGCTTAGATGGAAAGAGAATGGATACAGAATTTAGGGAGGGAGCAGGGTAAGACATACTAAAAGGAACCCCAGAGTCCCCATCTCGTCTTGGACCAATGGGGTTTCTCTGGACAATGTGCAGGGGAAGTCACCCAGCCTGCCAGGGACCCACTCACAACTCTGGGATCCAGGAGCTGCCCCTGGCCCTGGTGTCTAAGCACGTGGACCTGACTAATAACTAATTCAGTGGTCATCTGTCATGTAAACTCCCATGTGCCTCATTTCACCATGTAGCCATCATTTAAAAGAGAATGCTTTTGAAAGCTGTTGTGAAAATTGTGAACAGTTTTCTCTTTAAAAGGTAACATTTAGGTGGTTGGTGTAAACGACAGTAAGTTTACATATTCAACAAATGTGTTAACTTTCATTCATTGCAATATTTATGTGGATATATGGGATGCTCAGGCTTGTCATTTCCAATATTATAAGTATCTATTACAGATACTGGTCTTGATGCTTAGTTTAAAAAGAAAGGATACTCTTTTGAGAGTTCAGTGCACTGGGAATTCCCACCAATATTTCTCTTCTAAGGTAAAATGTTACATGTTACCTGGATATTGTTTGTTGCATTCTATTTAAAGTTCTCTGTTTCTCTTTTTAAAAAATGCATGTGTTTTATCCACACTGAGAACAGAGAGTGTTAATTCAAATGTAGCATGGGATGTCTGCCTATCGATATTTTCATCTGTACTGTATGTGAAAATGTTGTCTGTGAAGGAAAAGTATATAAGAATGAATGTGGACTCTTTGCTGTTGGACTAAATGTGGTTTATTTTCTGCTTGTCTGAGAAAATGCTGAAGAATAAGGTTGTATGAAGGTGTCCAGACTTCCCGTTCAAGTGGTTTGGCGTCTATGTTCTTGCCATGTTCCTGGCCTTTGAAAAATCAATGGGACAAAACCCTGACTTTTCCTTAAAACTTGAGCAGACTAGATTGTGGATATGTTTAAAACATATGTTGAACCTTGGTGGTTTTAAATTAATTTAAAGCACCCTTCAAAATATTTCAATTATTAATCCTGCAGAAACCCTTTGGTTTTTTTTCTTCCTCTTGGTTTTTTACAACAGGAAGTATTAAATGTCAAGAAAAGTGCCATTTTCCAGATTATCTTTTAAGTCGTACCAGTTTAAACATTGATTACATTGAAAATCATTTCATTTCAGCCACAGCGTCCTGTGTTTACGCATGAAAACATCCAAGGTGGGGGGGAACCGTAAGTATTCTTCTTATCTTCTAAACTTGAGACTAACCTTGGCCCACAACATGGACGGCTGACGTACCCAAAGAGAGGGTGGCACAAGCACGCCAGTGCCAGAGAGTAAAGTAACTGGCGTGAGACCTCCTAGGGGTAGAGGGATTGCAATAGTCTCTATCTTTCAAAACAGAGAGAAGCAGCTAATTTTATAAAGAAGCCAGTGATTGGCGGAGACTGACTTAGGTGCGAGAGAGATTCCTAAGACTGACGAATCTCTCCTTCTCTGTTCACTCGCCAGGTAGATTCTACTCCCTAATACTGGGTTTGCACGTCTTTAGAGAGCAGGAGAGTGTAATAGTAGACCTAAAGTGACAGAGTAGTGACCATTCCAAAGCTACCTTCTAGGAAGGGTCTCTGGAAATGGCAGTGTTAAAAATGCACTGCCATTCAGTCAAATGCCTTTCCACACTTTCAGGTTCCCTCTCCTTGCCAATACATAAGTCAAATCATCCTGAAGGTGTCAGACACTGTCTTTCAGACTCATATTTTGTGTGTCTTTTTCTGCTCCATTGTTGCCCATGAGAGATGCTCAGAGGCGATCTGTCTCCTATTGGCGCCCGCCTGCTCCGTGAGTCAGGAGCTGGGCCCCCGGAGGGAGGCGTGTCAGGCACACCTGAGCCCACACCCCGAGCCCTGCCCACCGCCCAGGCCCCGCTCACCTGGAGCCGAGCGAGTCCGGCTGGTGTGGGCCTGGTGCCTTCATCCTCATCCTCCCTCTGACCCATCACAGGCCTGAAACTTAGCTAAAAGCATGCTCTCCAGAAGCCGTCCCTCACCTGAGACTGGCTGTCACCAAATACGGCCTGAAGGTCTTGTTAAGAGAAAGACTGAAAAGAACGAGTTGGAGATAGGAATCATTCAAAATCTCACTTTACTGGGAAGATTTTAAATATGACCTGTAATTCTAACATTTCAGTTTGTTTCCTTCTTTACACAAATGACGGTAGGATTGCATCACAAAAAAATAAATTCCAGGGCTGTTTAGGTTTATAGCATTACCATCAGATCACAGTAGAAGCTTTCAAGGGTTTTGTGGATTCACAGGCACATTACGGTGCAATGTTTTATGTAATATGGAGTTAAGGCTTCCAACCTGGGTCATTTCCATGTTTATGGAAACTCTGAGCTCATAGGTAAGGAGGAAGGCACACTTTTCAAGTCCCACTTTGGATATTATAAAGCATTCTTTATTAAATTTCTATTGGATTTGCAACCCCCATTAATGGGGTAATGAGGTGTCACTTAATCTCTTTCCTTTAAAAAAATAGGTTTTGAGCGAAAATAGGGACACTGCGTTACATTGCTGCAGTTCAGAATCAGGGTGAAACACCTGAGAACAAAAGTTCCAAGTTAGAGAAAGCATGAAGTGGGAGGAGCATTTCCAGTCAAGACATCCGCCCCGCCGAGGCGTCCGAACGCCACCTCCATCCTCCGTCTCACCGACACATCGACACAGACACACTGTACAAGCCGCACGCTGGGTGTAATCCCTCTGCACTTCCTGTCATGCAACGCTGGCTTTGAAAGCCCGGCGAGGCAGGAGGGCTTCCGAAGCGTCGGTTTACGTTTCCCCAACCCTCCCCGACTTTTGTGGTCTAACTGAACTGGGATGTAAGTAAACTTTGACAAGCGCCCTGGGTTTTGTCACACCAAAGCGAAGTAGGAGCTCATGCCAACTTTGGTTTTTTTGGCTCCTGGGACCTTGAGATTCTCCAAGCAGCCGGGGTCTGTGGCCTTAAATAGGCCTGTCTCCCTAAGTGGCTGGAGCTGTGCCCGGCTGACAGCTGAACCCTGAGAAGCTCAATCAGAGAACCAGTGTGTCCAGTGGGAGAGATCCTGCGATGTTTATCCACTGAACACAGCAGCCCGGGGGTGGGTGTCACTCTCAAGGGTGAAATTGCAAAAGGGACTATGTTGAAACCAACTCTCCCCACGGACATACAAAACGCATCATCCCTTCACGCGAATGGCCCTAAAGCAAACATCGAAATAACTCCACTACTCCAACGAGGGCTGGCCCCACACACTCATCAAACCTAAGTAATGTTGGTATTCAACCCCTCCTGGGCTTTTTCTGCCACTGTTCTGAGATTCTGGCCGCGTTTCTCTGCCCTTCCCACAGTCAGAATTGCCTCTCCACAGATGAGTGCAGAAGCCCAATCTCAAAGAGCACAGGTGGCTGTGAAGTTTTCCTAGGAAGGCCAAATAGTAACAGGGGAAGAGATCTCCGGTGTTCCAACTTCAGGGTTTGGTCCCAGGCCAGGGAAGACACGTTTTCTAGGAGAAGGTTTTGGGCACCTCATCGCCCCAACTCTTTCCCAGGCACCCCCCAGGCCTTCTTCATCCAGGTCCCCAACCTGAAAAAGGTCCCGGACTGGGCAGGAACGGAGAAGAATGCCGATGGAGCTATGCCCCCGGCTTACGACATGATGTTTGAGTCCAAGTGATAGGATAGTTTTGTTTGACCAAAACACGATTTTCCAAATGAATAAAGACATTAGGACTAAAGCGTTCCAATTCCTGAGCAGTAGTCAACATCACCGACTTTTTAAAGTTGACTTTAAAAAAAATCCAAAAGGCTCTGAAATGTGGTTCCTAGTTTCTCACGCTGGTAGAATTCCATAACTGTTGCGAAAACAGCAGAACCCAGTCACTGATTTTTTAAAACTCCCCTCACAATGCTGATAATCCTTGAGGAACGCGGTGAGGTTTTCATCTTCGCCACATGTCGAGGGTTTCCCAACCTCCTCGGCAGCTAGAGTGTGTCTTCACTTTTCATGTTAATATGCACTAATTACAAGCTATTTTATTACCACAAATTCAATGCCTGAATTTGTTACTAATCAATGTCACCAAAATGTATGCTCTCAAAGAATTCAGACAGAGAATGGAGAGTGGTAGCATTCTACCGGGATTTTTTATGTAAAATTATTTCAAGAGAGAGTTTTCGCATCCAACACAATTCCTCCAGGACCTATTAGAAAGGAACATATGCCCATAATCTATATACTCTTTGAAATCTGGTCAGAGATAACAACAAAGAATACATCCACTTCATTTCACGGGTGAATAATAGCAAATTTTCAAATTCCAAAGCCTCAACAAACACTGACTCAAACTAGGAAACTAAACTGCTTTAAAGAATTCTTCCTGGTGAAAAACTAATAATATTCTGTTTCATAGTCATTTCCACATAGTGATTTAGAAGGCATGTGTCTGAGACATTTTTTTACATACAACTCAATTTAGAATAATTTGAAAATTCGACTTGGACGGTGCGATCATTTCTTTCTGATTGTAGATAGCTAAAACCGTAATTCCCAATGTGTATATAGCTGAATAATGCATTTGGCACTTCTTTCATATTCTGTACTATTAATTAACGGTCTGAATGCTAGATATCTGTGACTGGACAATTGAAATGCAGGTCTGACTTACAAACTTTAGAACGTTCAATCCAACTCATAGATATTATAATCCGCCATGGATATTTCTCATTGTGAGTATTGAAAGGCTAGTAGAGTGATTTCAGTCTCATAAGAGTCTAAATACTTCTCTTCACATGTTTACCAAAGACTTAGATTACCTAATTATAATATGTTAACAATAATAGAAATGTTAAAGGTAAAATTAATAGTGTGTATCTCCTATAGTTTTGCAAAGGTGTAAGGATTTTTTTTCTTACACACGTCCATTTGTCCTGTTGAAGGTTCCAGGCTCTGTACAACTACACTCCCCGGAATGAAGATGAGCTGGAGCTCAGAGAGAGCGATGTCATCGATGTGATGGAAAAGTGTGACGATGGATGGTTTGTGGGTATGTGTGCATTTCTTTCCAGACACACTTGGCCACTTTAAACGTGCTTGCATTTGCTCTCTGGCATGGTCTGACATGACAATCGAGCTTTCTTTGGTTTTATAATGCCTTTGCCCTTCCATACATTCATACGCATTGTGTAACTCCAAGGCAACTGCACTTCTAATGTAGTTTAGTATTGACTGCTTCAGGTAGATATGATTTTCTGCTAGCTCCCTTTCCCAGTCACCTGGGAGAAGAAGATTTCTTTAAATAGCAGTAACCAGGAAAGACTAAGATCTAAGAACACTAACAAAAATGCTCCCTAGATAAGAAATACTAATACTCTGTTTTGTGGAGAATGTTAGTTGTCGCCGGTGAGGATCAGTTTGAGAACAAAGCCCAGTGAACAACTCATCCATTTACTAGGTTTGTTGTAGTTGCCCTACAAATCCAGAGGTTCAACCTGGCTGTCATCTGTGGGGGAAGTAGACAGACGTTCCATTCCACCCACTGGAAAGACAACCTCATTCTTATCGTCTGTAAGAAGATGAGGCGTTGTCTGAGAGAACATTTGTAGACAAGAGTCTCATACACCAGGCACATAGGAAGGAGCATAAGAGGCCGGAGGAGACAACGGATGAGGGAATGAGGTCTTTCTAGAGCCAGGCAATCGGTAAGGAAATAATAAAGGGACCAGAGCCATGTTGCAGCCACAAGCCTCTATCTCTTTCTCTAGTAACTCGCCACTTAAAATAGAAGTCAAAAGGCTTACCTACACAGGGACAGAGCACAAATGAGACGTGGAACCATGACAACTCCATTCACTCTATCTGAGCTGGAAACCCTAAGGATGAATTCAGTGCACCAACGGTTACAAAAGTTTCAAAAGAATTAACATTCTTGGAGACCAAAGGCAGTCCTATCGATGGCCACTTGTGCATTTGGTTTCACTCATGTTAGAAATCACGCCCAATGATAGAGCCCCATCCACAAACGGTGGTTTATCTTTTCTTCCTTTAGTGACTTTGTAAATTGCTCAAATTTTCTGTATTTTATTAAGGACTCTGGCGGTGCTATTTCTAAATGAATCATGGGGCGTTCAGCACAGTCTTCTGTGAGACAATGAAACTGGATTGTGATGGTCTGCCTCCGGTGCCCTCAATGTGACGCCTCTGTTGAGACGGGAGAACATTAAAAATCCACCTCCCAGCAGCAGGGGCTCCCCCCAGACCGGGAGGCTGAGCTCTTCTGCCCAGCCTGGCCTGATGGAGGCAGAGCATTTAACCTTAAAATACTACCACTGCCACCAGCAGCACCGAGAAAACGCTGACCACCTGCCTAACGTCTCCGAGTGCTCTTTCCTCTCCAAACCCCACAGGGATGGCTCCTTCAGTGAAGCCTTGGACAGGAAGATTTTCAAGCCCATGTATATGAACTGATATTTCATGGCCATAACCCCGCTTTCGTTTGTCGCTTCTATTCACAGGAACCTCGAGAAGAACCAAATTCTTTGGTACCTTCCCTGGGAACTATGTCAAGAGGCTGTGAACCACCCTCACACCTACTTAAGCTGTGGTTCAGCACCACATCTGCATAACCTGCCCTCAAAGGTCCCCGCAGGCCTCCCGCTGTCATGCCTTATGGTTTCCAATAGAAGTCACCACCCCCCCCCCATCACCATCCCCACCTGCCACCCAACCACCAGCAAAGTAACTGCCAGGGGCGAGCCCTGGGGAGACTGGCAGGCTGGTTCTGTGTGAACGTGCATATTCCCGCTTCCTGCTCTACACTGAAAACCTGCATGTTGGGTTCAGAAAGAAATTCATTATACTTGAAAGGGTTAAATAGGTGAGGCAAAACAGGAGACTTCCTGGTCCGCTTTGGAGTACGCCCCTCCCCTCAGGCGAGCTGAAGTTGGGTTTTCACTAAATACATGGCGGTGTGCATTTTCACACCCTTAGCTTGGCAGTGTATTTTCCTTTCACGAGTTTGCCTAGTGTCCTCGTTTACACGACATGACAACTGTACTTCAGCTATTGTTTGCCTGCACTTACATGTTGTAATATGCACAGTGATAACAAAAATCTAAAGTGAGGGTAGGAAAGTTAATTCGGATGAGTGTGATTTTTGTTGACTGAATGTGAGTTTTCAATAGCAGTCTTTTCCTGCAATTCTTTTGTACTTTTTAGAAGTGCAAACAGTAAGTGAATAAGAGCTTTTGGTAATAATCATGAGAATATAAGAAGTTTAGCTAGGCTACAAAAAAAATATTGTGTTGTAAAGTTGCATTGCTATTTTATATTAAAATGTAATAATCAGCATCATGAACAATGAGCTCTTAGTGTTTTATTTATCTGACAAAATTGAAATAAAAGCAGTGTTAGTGAGAGGTGCGAAAAGTTATTCTAACATAGACACTTGAAAGTATCCGTAAGCAATATTCATAGGTAAGATTTCACTGTGTGTGCATATACACATTTGCGATTGTATGAGGACAATCCATCTTATGTCGTACAGTTTATGGAAATGTAAAAGAATCCCACACATTATTTTCTAGAAATAGAGTACTTTAGAAGCATCACAAGTATTAAGGCTGGTTTTAGCAAGGATTATGATCAATACAATTATTTTTACTATGATAATTATTTTTCTTCTATGGAACTCAGAATCCTGGCTACATTTGAGGACAGGAATATGTTGAGCCTGATTTTCCCGGTGTGTGTACAATATTTCCCTGGAATACATTAGGCACCTTTTAGAGACAATGTTGAGTCCTTCAGGCTGTATTTTCTGCCCCGAAGTCAAAATTTACAAAACGGTATTGGGACCTGAAAGATTTGACGGGGCTAATCGTGCCTGAATCACGCACACCCTGAGAACTAGCTTTGTATTTCTTATGACTTTGCATAAGAACTATTCATATTTGGATCTTGAGCACCTTATAGATAAAACTTTTTATGATATTTCTTCTGTGGACAGTGATTGATCTTTTCACAATGTGCGTAGGTTCTACAATTTTGTACATATGTTTGCTCTTTTTTTTGTACAGACTATTTAGTTGTTGAGAAAACAAGGGAATTTCCTAATTCGGTCTCTATCCTTTACTTAAACTGAGCTAAAGACTAACTTTTACAAATCCCACAGATCATAAGCACGCCTTGATATTGTGATTCTGTAAGATGGCATTTCTGCAAAAGTGTACGGACTTAAAAGATCTTAGCAGCCAAACTGAAATGGACATAAATATCGAGGACAGAGGAATTTCAGCAGGAAGAAGATAAACACCTTTGAGTAGCCTACCTTGAATACTGTCAAGTTCACAGCCAGCTTTCTATTTTAAAGTCCTTGGGTTTGAAATTAGGTCAACTGCATGCGGCTTTGCTGATAAATGAGTAATTATCTTCCATGCCATTTATGGGAAAAGATATCAATATCTGTTGCCTGTCATATTTAAGAAAAATGACTGTTTCTACTCTCTGTATCTGATTTTAAAAGGAAAATCTTCATACCTGGCTTTCAGGTAATTGACTTTGAATTCTTACAAGCAAAGGTCATTGTGTTTTTCTTGAATAGACATCTAATAAATTTTGCTTGGAAGTATACTTTAGTCTTTCTTCTTGCCATTTACCCTTAAACAAATTGTATGGTTTATCCCAATTTGTTAGATGAACTAAGAGAAAATGCATTTGCTCTGTGTTATCTAGACGTGCCAATAGAGCGGGGGGAGGGAAGTATCTGTGTCAGCTCAGAGAGGAGATATTTTTTAAACCCACCACCAAAGCTCATTTGCTACATACACTTTGGCTAAAAACTGCTCTTCAGCTAAAACAACACATTAAAATAGTTCCTCCTCATAAACAACTTTTTCCCCCCAAGGAGAAGTTAATGACAAGAGAGTGTAAGCACTTTCCCAACTCAACAATCTTAAAATTTAAAATCCTCACCCTAAAAAGCTTTATCACCACTGGTATGTCAGACTCACGTTAACACCCACAATTTTTCAAAGCCTTTCAAATTACGGGCAGTAGGTAGGTATGGTTTCTTTTTCTCGCACAAATAGTGCACTGCTAGCGAGCTCTCCCTGGACCCTTTCTACCGTATCTGGTCCCATTTGGCTCTATGTGTTCCAACCCTGGTCCACACCTACTGTGTGCATATTCAGAAATGCCTGGCGCTCCTCGGTTCGCAATTCAGTTGTCCAAGACGGCTGGTCACATTGCTTAACCCTAATGCTCACCCTGATCCACTCTATTCCACTGGAAAATTTCCTCTATATACTAGCTTTCCATTTTACTCGTATACACAGATATGAGCATTTCCTTTTTGGGAAGACTATGCCTCCTGTTCCTTTGCTCCTGTTTTCATGAGCGCACTGCTCGGGGAATTAACCACGTAAACCTGAATCGGATAAACTGTGAGGTGCGTGTTGGTGCCCTCAGGGGCTGTTTCCCATTTCTCTCTTCACGGCACTCTGTTGTGAAATCATCCGCACCCTACAAGTGAAAATCTGGGATTCTGAAAACACGTGCATCAACATCTAGACTCCCATGTCCCACCTGGAAACGAATCACCCGAGCTTCCCTGCACAACCCGCGGAGGCGCGGCTGCAGCCTGATCCCGGCCCTGCCCCGGGGAAGCGGGCACCAGCGCGGCGCTGCGCCCAGCTCTCCGAGCCGCCGGGCGCTGCCGTGGGCCCGAGGCAGCGGCCGCCACGGTGACCCTCCCGCCCTGTTCCCCGTCGGGAATGCTGGGGTTCTGGGTAGAATACCAAATTACTAGGGTTTTGGGGGGTTTTTGCCTCAGAATCGATGCTTAATAAGCTATTTGACTTGGTTTTATGCCAATGCATGCTCATCATTACACACCAAAAATTACTTAATGCATCCCGTTTACGTCACTGAAACCACCTTGGGAGGCGGAGTGGGATCCACTGTTGGCAACACAGTACAACGAGGCCGGTAAGTCACTGCCGCTATTCGTCAGCTTCTACCTGCTCACATCTGTGCAGGAACTGGCCATGCGGGTCAGAGAGGTTTCACCGGGAAGGGGTCCTCTGATATTATATGTGCCAAGTTTTAAACCTTCCCACAACTACAGCCTCACTAAAAACAGGCATGGCCACCTCGTAATAGATGGACAGCAGAGAGACCCCTCTCTGAGCAGCTGTCCCATTCACTGCTTGGTATCTCTGCACAGGTGGTCAGCTTATGAGACTGATAATTTCTTCCTACTGTTTTCCAGATTTCAGCCACAAAGAGAGAGATTCTTTAGAGAGTCATTTGATCAAACAGACTGTGCACTCTGTCAGCTTCCAAGAGCCCCGTTACTGAAAGACTGAGTCGTCTTCCTTTCTGATTGTAGGCCTCCAAGTTGTTTGTGTCTCAGTTATGACGCCAGTTGTGCACTCACCGTGGGTGGCGGGGTCGGAGCACAAGCCGGCTGGCGTTGTTACTGCACAGGTGACAGCAGGAATTGGCCCGTGTGGCCTGTGGGCCAGCTGCATCCCGCTGCCTGTTTTCTTACGGCCTGCAAGTTCCGAATGGCTCACACAGAAGAGCACCAGCATCAGCTGGATGACAGGGAAGACTAACTTTGAACCCCAGTTAAGTGAAATGTTGTCTCCCCAGAAAAAGAACCCCTTTCTTTTCACTGGTAGGCCTAGCTGTATCAGAGAAACTTTATCCTATTATTATTGCATTTTGAATATCATCAACAAATTTGTGAAATTTGTTTTTTTCTTTGTTATGGAAGTAAAAACATAATATCCTCAATGTTGCTTCCTGGCCCACAAAACCTAAAATACCATTTACTATCTGTCCCTTTAGGCAAAAAGCCTGTGAACCCCTGCTCTATGCTCATTGTCAGCAACTGGCCTGGCTAGAAGGGAAGCAACTGGGAACTCACTAGAAGGGAAGGAATATCGAAATTCTGCTATATACCAGACTGTTATTTGACATGCATTCTTTGTCTTTATCCTCACAACAAATCGAAAAGGAAATCTGCTTTGTGCCCACCTTAGAGATGAGAAAACTGATGCTGTGAGGTTATTACAAACCAGGTGATGGGAGCAGGATTAAGAATTTGGTGCGTCTGGCTCCTGCGCCTGGATCCTTTCTTCCAAGCCACTCAGGACTGAACACACTGCTGGTCAAGCCACGTTCCCAGTCACATGGTTACATTCACCCGCCTCCTTCCTCTCCTCCGTTCTCACGAACGCTGCCATCATGAAGACCCACCCCTGCGCGACAGCACCTTGCTGTGCATGGGATGATATACATATGCTCAATCCAGTAAAACAGCGTCTTCCCGGGGAGAGCTACTGCGGTTTTAAAAGTATACGGTGACCCATGAGGATATAATTTCAAGCATCGACCTGTTTTAGCTGAGCTTGTCGGTGAGCTGTTATTCACGAAGGCCCTAGAGGCTGTTGGCAGGGAGTCGGCGCAGCAGCTGGTGGCGGCTTTGGAAAGCGCTTGGTAACGTGGAGTCCCTTGGACAGGCAAGGCCAGCGTGCTCTAGGAACACAGTGTGCTCGTTGGACAGCTTTGCGCGCTACAAAGCCCAGGACATAGATACTAGCCATTCTCTGCTAGGTGACTCACTAAGTGACCGGGAGCTTCAGCTCACTGCTAAATTCAGCCATAGCTCAGAAAAGTTCCATCTGAGCTCATGCACATGCATATATCTTGACCCAAAAACCTTTCAGTGCAAGACAGGCCTCTGCCCAGTAAATCTTCACCTGTTCCTTTGGGGTTTCTTGTTTCATCCATTTCCCGAAAATATGAGGGGTGACTCAGTAGTCCCAGTGTTTTCCAAAAATAAGTGCTGTTTCAAATAAACCATTTAAATAAATTACCATTAACGACAATGGGGCGGGGATCAGATCTTGCACTGATATCACAGAAAACTTGAGGATGATTTTTTAAAGTGTCTTTCAATTACACAAGCAACAGATTGTACGAAAAAATAGAAAATATAGAATCACTAAGAGTCCCATTTTTTAGACTAAAGATTACAGTTCAGAACATATCCTTCCAAAGTTTTTTCATGCATATGCATAGATATGCACATGTACGCATGTGTGTGTGTGCACGTGTGTGTGGCATGCAGGAAAAAGCGGAATCAAACTGAACACAGTATTTTATGGCCCGTACTTAATGTTTATAACCTGCAGACAGAGCATCTGAGATCTTGCTCCCTCGTATATGTTGTCAGTTTGAGGCAAACAAACTCTTATAAAAATTCTCAAATAAGTAAATAGTGACTAAATCAAGTTTTCAAGTCAAGTTGACCTTATCAAGGTTTATAAAAACAGTAAGGGAAAGTCAAAGTCAATCCACAGGACTCATGGAAATGCAACTAATTAAAAAAAAAACCAAGAGACAAAAATTATAGAAGTGCCATTAATAATGTTGCAATCTGAGGAACTGGTAGAGGAAGGAAAGAAAAGACAGAGGGAAAGGAAAATAATATTTATTATCTCTGCACCATAAGCCATCACATGCATGAGACATTTTTCCAGCTAAGGAGTGGCTAACAGGAGAGAGATGTTGAGGAATGTGTGAACCACAGAGCCACCGGGCACAACATTCAGACCATGTGGGGGGCGGGCAAAGTACACAAGTACTGACTCCAAACTGACAGAACAGAGTAACCATTGGGTAGGCCAGCTCATGCCCTTCCCCGCTCTCCCCTGCCTGCACACACACCTACACAAGGAGCTGCCCCAACAGGAGAAAATAGTAATGTAAGAAAAATTCAGCAATGTTAGAAGAAAATACAATAGCCAAGGTCTGGAAAGAGCCCACATGTCCATCAGTAGATGAGTGGATGAAAAAGCTGTGGTACATTTACACAGTGGAATACTACGCAGCTGTGAAAACAAGAGGGCACTCTTACCCTTTGCGACAGCACGGGTGGATCTGGAGAATATTATGCTCAGTGAAATAAGCCAGTCAGAGAAGGACAAATACCATATGGTCTCACTCATATGTGGAACCTAATGAACAAGATAAACTAATGAACAAAATGCGACCAGAGGCATGGACATGTGGATCAGACTGATAGAGGTCAGAGGGGAGAGAAGTAGGAGAACTGGAAGAGATTAGCCAAAGAATGTATGTGCACATATGCAAAGTATATTGACATAGAAAACAGTGGGGCAAAGGCCAGAGTTGGGGGGCTTGTGGATGGAGGAAAAGGTATGGAAAATGGGGAACATCTGTAATAGTATCAACGATAAAAACTTTTTTAAATTCTAGGTCCCAGGGAGGAAAACTTTAGCAAGATCTTCTTACTTGCTGTTAATTACACCCAAACTTGCATAGATGAGGACGCCCACCACCAATCCACCTACAGCAGGGGCTCTGGGACATGAGCCCCTATCTCTGATCTTAACTTCCTCCCTTGTCTTGCATGTCTGTACACAGGCAGAGCCTGGTAAGTACCTCCAGTGCATTTGGAAGGTTCAGTAATAAAATACTTTATGGAGCCTGACGTCATTGGACAACATTTTGCAGAACCTTTAGATTTGAAGTAGGTACTGAAGTACCATCTCTTTTGGGCACATTTGCTGAGCTCATCTTGGTGGCT